GGAAATAACGTTTATTAACGGAATGGGCAGGATTAACATTCGAAGTGAATATAGTGTAATATATTGGGGACCGCCTAGCTGGGTGTCTTGGCCGGCGGATTTCGATCTGCCGAGTGAAGCATCACGGACGTGGGCTGGAATTTGGATGGGTGACCTAAGGCAGGCTCGGGGACGTGGCTGTGGCAGCATCACGGACTCAAGCTGGAATTTGGATGGGTGACCTAAGGCAGGCTCGGGGACGTGGCTGTGGCAGCCTACCAAGAGACCTGGGTCGCCCAACATTTGCCGCACGCGTGTGGTCCCCCGATAAATGGTAATGAAAGCAGACCAAGAAATCTCTGTAACTCAAGACCATACTATCATACATAAACTGTACGAGACTTTGCCACCAAGCCATCCGTGTAGTAAATAAGATGGTTTGAAGAAAAGTACTCGAGTAATGAAAGAGGGTGTACAAGGGGCCTAATAAGGCCTAAGTGCCGTGGTGGAAGACAATTCCACCACCCCTCCGACATACATACATAGTGTGATATATTAGTTATTATTTTCATTAGCGTTTTCGAAAGAAAACTTATGCATTGTTTTTAAATATGCCGAAACAAATCGTTTAGACAGAAGGGTACCTATATAAGGGTATGTTAGAAATGCATCACTCAGCACTTGACTGCTCTATTGATATTCTCAGTGTGGTAGATTTCCTGCTATGCTATATCCTTATTAAGTAAATATTAATATTAAAATGGAATAGTAAAAGAAGATTGACTTTTTTAAGAAAATTCTAGGATTTAAACAATTTTTCAATATTGAGTCGTTTAAAATTTTCATGACATCCATAATTTTTGTAAAATGTCACATAAATTTGATTCATTTTTCAAAATAACATTAGATGTGAACCCACATTGAAGAAGAAAGTGCGAATATTTCATCCGTTTTTTTATATCAAGCTTGAGAACTAAAAAAATTGAATATTTTAGGAACAGTTGAACTAAAAAAAGATTTGCACTGAAAAGCTTTTTCCGTTGAATATGTATATGTATAACTACATTTTTTATCCTATTTTTGAATGACTGAAACTGAAAATGTAAGAAAAATGCATTTACCAAGTTAGATATATGGATGATTTTCTGTTCAACAAATTTTCTGTGATGACAAATCGTTTTCGTTATAGTCGATACATATCAAACCCATTCTAATTCTGAAGCCACTGATTAGATTATATTCAAATCCTATATGTACTTATTCATCTAGGTATAGTATGAGATAACTACACTCTATAATGTTTGAAGTCAGTGTTGTATTTGTAACTGATTAAAAACTGTTTTGCTTCCCATATTTGAAAGATCTTTCAGGAATAATTTTAGGAACAACAGTGCTCTTGTTTTTTCCGAAAGTATTTAATCTTTAAAGCCGGCTACACATGGGCGTACCTGATTTAATGCTCGTACGTACGTTTATCAAATTTTAATAGGGGTACAATAATTATGCCTCGCTTATATTGTAATGGTTAATATACAGTGTTAATTAAGTATGTACAAGTAATTCAACAGTCCATTATTTGAGTGATTTTAAGACAAAACATTGTTCCGCAGATGCTTCGTTTTCAAGATACAGGGTGTTAAACTTTTGTAAAAAAATTGCTATTTCGTAAATATCTTAAATACCCTTTACCCAATTTTGTTGTAATTTGGCAGTGTTATTTGTACTTTATGTTATTTAGACGTTATTAATAAAAAATATAAAAAAAAAATATAATTTCCAAAAGAAACTTTTCCCCATGTTTCTTGTGTGGTCCAGGGATATGCAATTAAGTGTATTTTTTTCTATAAAAATTAATCAAGATACGAAAAACATTCAAGAGACAAAAAAGTTGTAATTTTAGTTGCTTAATTCAGAAAATATAAAAATTACAAAAAGTCAGTGGCGTACATTTTTTTTTCAAAAATATTCGTTAAGGTACCGCTCGGGACGCCACTGGACTTAATAAATTTAATCAAGTTGGGGTTAAATTAGCTCCTTAACACTACAAATAACACTGCCAATTTACAACAAAATTGGGTAAAGGGTACTTAAGATATTTACGAAATAGCAATTTTTTTTACAAAAGTTTATCACCCTGTATCTTCAAAACCAAGCATCTGCGGACCAATGTTTATATGAACTTTTTGTCTTAAAATCACTCAAATAATCGTCTGTTGAATTTATTGTACCTACATACTTAACAATTAACACCCTGTCTAGTATTTCATTTCGTGTGGATAGTATTTTAACGGATAAAAAAAAACTAGTGATAAAATAAATTAATGGCAAGGATCAGTTAGTTAAAATTCCAATTTCATTTCTTGCGGTATATTACACAATACAGGGTGGTCCAGATTTATAAGACAAACTTCGGGAAAGTACTAAACAACAAAAATTAACATCAGTTTGCTCTATGAATATAGGCGCAGAAAGCCACCACAGGGCGTTGAAATTAACAAAAATAAAACATTTTTTTTTAAATATCTGGAAAACAGCTTTATCAAATTTATCCAGATTTGGTACACATTCTTTTTCAAATAATTCTCCTAGTACTGTATGTAGACAGTCCAAATTCAAAAACCAGTGGCGGGGAAACAAGGATATCGTTTCCTTATTTAAAGTAAAACTTCTACGCCACTGAATTAATTGGTAATATGAATACATTTTATAACATTCTGAAACATTCCGGATGAAAAAACAGTCTTTTATTTTTGTCGAAAAGTGAATGGTTTACGAGTTATGAAACATATTATACAAGTAAACAAATCGTTGAAACAGGGAAAAATAAAACGAATTTGAGTAGTCCAGATTTTAATAGACACACTTCGGGAGAGTACTAAAAAAACAAAAATTAGTACCACCTTCTTCTATCAACATAGGCGCAGAAAGCCACCGTTTATGAGATACAGGGCGTTGAAATTATCAAAAATAAAACACTGGAAAACCGCTTCATCTAATTTATCTAAATTTGATCACATTTTTCACTATCATAGCAAGCATATCGAGCTCAAATATCAAGTAACACGAACAACAAGTAAAGTCATATGAAAAACAAATAAATTAAATCAATTGCTCGAAGTGTCCATCTTCAAACTCAGTGCACTTTTATAAAATAATCCAAAATATTTAGATCAGGTGATCTAGGTGGCCAAGGTATGGGGCTATTCCGACCAATCCATCTGTTTTGGTAGTTGTTTGTCAGCCATTCACGAACTACCTGGCCAGAATGTGCTGGCGCCCCGTCCATTTGAAACCTGGTCCCTATTCGTTGATTCGAAGGTATGTCCTCCATTGACTGGAAGAGGCTATTGTCCAAAAAATTTAAAATTAGATCGGAATTTAGTCTAGGTGGCAAGATGTTTACTTGGATAATATGTTTCATAACTCGTAAATCATTCACTTTTCGACAAAAATAAAAGAATGTTTTTTCATACGGAATGTTTCAGACCGTTATAAAATATATTCATATTACCAATTAATTCAGTGGCATAGAAGTTTTACTTTAAATAGGGAAACGATATCCTTGTTTCTCTGCCACTGGTTTTTGAATTTGGACTGTATGCATACAGAACTAGGAGAAATATTTGAAAACAAATGTGTACTAAATTTGAATAAATTTGATAAAGTGGTTTTTCAAATATTTAAAAAAATTGTTTTATTTTTGATAATTTCAACGCCCTGTATCTCATAAACGGTGGCTTTCTGTGCCTATACGTATTCATAGAGCAAAGTGATGTTAATTTTTGCTGTTTAGTACTTTCCCGAAGTTTGTCTATTAAAATCTGGACCACCCTGTATAGTGTTTCCAGTTTTAAAGGCCATTCGTTGCATTGCAGGTGGCAGCGTCTCATTTTCTTTGGTTGTGGGTGTTTAATGAGGTAGTTTCCTTCAACTGCAAAGAAAATGGAAATGTAGGTACATTTCTCAAAAATATATATTATCGTATTTTAATATTTACGGTGGAATAATTAGTTAAAAAACGTATTTTATTATTAGGTCTCGTATTTTTTACTCTATTTTAAAGATATTAAGATACCTAATTCAAATTCAAAAACTTTTTTTTAAATCTTATCAAATGAAGTCAAAAATGGTTCTTCGATACCATAAATCTAGGTATGCAAAAGATCTAACCCCACATAAAGGACTCGTAATTGATGATATTGCTGGAAACAGCCACATGTTCCAACTAACATTGAATTACACTAGCAATACCTAATAAACATCTAGTAATAAATAATTATCCAGCATTAAAAACTGAGACATTTCATAGTGATTTATGTAACTGATCGCATCTAACGCTTACAAATGTTTCGCTGTTCTTCACTGTGGACATCTTCAATGATAAGAGATTCCTAGCCAAGGCTAAGGAAGCGCATTGTAAGACTGTAATTGACGGCTCCCAAGTCGCAACGCATATTTTATTTGTTTAGGACTTCAATGAAGTCAAATCTCATATTTTCTAACCTATTTTTATTTTGTGATGTGGTGAAAAAGTTGGAATTAAAAATTCATTAAAAAAGTGCACGCCACAGCTGAAGTCGTTCACACTGTGGACAACGCCGAAAATAAGCGTTTGTGACAATTCTCGCATACGTTATTACCTGCGCATTGATGAACGTACAGGCATGTACGTTCGTGTGTAGACGGCTTAAAGTTTATTTCATATTCGTTGTACCCTGTGCATAGTTTGTTAAAAATTTATTTTGAATATTAATAAGATTTTATAAAAACTGTTGATGCTTTTATTAAATTATTCCAATGTAATGCGACTTGACTTGACCCCTGCCCAGAAGGGCGAAGATATAATCTCTACAGATAGAGGCTTTATTTTTAGAATCGAATAGTTTTCCTGGGTATATTTCATGTGAAAATATCTTAAATTTTTCTGTGACGTATACACAAATGGAATTTGTGTATTTATAAATATATTCAATAACAGTGGCTGTATGTATGAATAATGATAACCTTGCATTCCACTGCAGATAACAATATGGAGGGCGGAGAATCTCCCTTGGACGTCCTCTCCCGAGCTGCTACCATGGTTCAAGAAAATCAAGCGTATTCGGCTGCAGGTTGGTACATAATATTATTTTATTATCTCAAACACGAGTACTCGTTGGCATTCGTTCTGTATTGTTTTCAGATCAGAGTTGGAGATTATTGTTTATTTTTCGAAATAATTTCGTATTTTAATGATGTTTATGTGCCGTGAATTGTTAAAGGCTACGATCAGGGCCGACTTTGGGAAAGTGTAATCAGATTTTGCTGTTAAGATTTATGTGTAGCTACACAACGACAAATCGTACCGATTTGTCGTTGTTTGCTGTACAAGGTCTCCAGAAACTATGAAAGAAAGAGTAATTATACTTATAAAAATAATGGCACGACGTTTTTTTGAAAACTTGGTATTAACGGATCTACATAATCTTAAAGATATTTTTTTAGAAATTAATATTTTGACATATTTTTGTCTCTTTTTCAGTTTGGTACAATTGTTTTTGGTAACTAGACCTATGAAAAAAATATTAATATTTTAAAGCTCCGAAATGTTTAGATGATTTGAATTGACTAAAACAAATTTGACCATATATTTATTTGTAGTTTATAAAAAAATATTAAAGATTGTTAAAACATTAAATTTTTTGAAATTATTTTTAAATTTCACGATTTTTATGAATTACTTTTTAAAGCTTGTAATTGTATAGATCATAGTTTTCTTTTATGTTCAAATTCTGCTTTGTACTACAAAATAGGTACATTTAACTTTTTTAAGGATGCCCTAAAAAGTTAAATGCACATTTTCTCGAAAACCAACTTGGAACAAGAGTTTTGAGACTTTTTTGTAACATTTTTTATCTTTAATATTATCGTAGTTAGTTTTTGAAAAATTGCAAATAAAAAAGTTATAACCAATTTTTTAACCAAACGGGACCATTTAGACCTTTAGTGCTTTAGGTTTTTTGTAATTACTTTTTTCGTAGCTGCAGTTTATTATCCATAATAGTTCCATACTTCCAATCCAATATTGTCGTAGTATTTTCCATCTATATTAAAAAAAATCGTTTAATTGAAAACAAAAGGTTACAGCAAATTAATAATTAAAAACAAATAACTTTGAGGTTATGTGATATAGATGGTATTTAATTTTAGAGAGAATTTGCTGTTATTTTTATGTTATTTACATAAAAATAATCGCCACATTTTATGAAGATTGAATTCTTTAAATCTAATCTAACTACAACTGCTTGAAGGAGATTATTATAAGGATGTTTTTGAGAGACAATTTATAATGATAATAATTAAATAGTTATTTAGAAAACTGAATGCTTATATCTTAGAATTGGGAACAGTTAACAATTAATTAAATGTTTGCTATTGCATACAAAAATAATTGATTGTTTTGCTAATGGTACAATTACATGGTCAATTAACAAATATCTCAAAAGTAAACAATTAATAGTTGACACATCAGCGGCATTCTTTAACAAGTTGCCACACAGCGAAAAATTATGAACTATGTTTAATGGATCTGATATAATTGTAATGGGTGTTCAAATTTGAGTTAACTTTTTAAATTTGCCGCCATTTTTGTTTTTTTATACTAGAATGGTTTTGTTTTTTTTGACAGCTGTTAAGTAGAAACGTGGCGGTTAATGAATATGGAGAAGTATACTATTGTACAACGTGTCTTTATTGTTAAAAATTATTTTAAATTTGGTTAAAGGCATTAAACAAACCGCTTTATTCAATATTTTGCATAAATCTTCTCTTAAAGACTTACAAAATACATTTAACACAAAAATTATTGCCAACTGATCATGGATTACATTGTACAGTTATTAATTGTGCTCTTGAAATTAAGGAAATAATGATGATTTTTATTTAACAAAATCCTCTTTAGTGATGAAGTCCATTTTGAAATTGGTGGATATGTAAAGAAACAAAACTGTAATATCTGGGGTGAATAAACCCCCAGTAATATTGAAACAACCAATGCATTGACAAAAAGTAACTGTTTTTGGTTTTGTGGAGTGATTCGTCCATAATTCTTCAAAAATTAAACTGAAAATGTTACTGTAAATGGTGCTCGATATCGAACGATGATTAATAACTTTTTATGGGATGAATTGGAGCGAATTAATGCGCAGAGTATGTAGTTTCAGCAGGACCGTCCATCATGTCACACAGCAACGGAAACAATCGATCTTTTGAAACAAATTTGGTAATCGATCAATTTCTCGATGAAGATCATACGATCTATTTCTTTTTGCGGATTTTTTTAAAGAGCAAAGTTTATACTGGAAATTCTCAAACCATTCAACATCTGAAAGAAAATGTAAATGAGCAGGTCACTCTAATTCAACCACCATTATGTGAATAGGTGACGGAAAATTTTGCTAAAAGATTGAAGAATCTGGAATTCTTTTTCATTAGTAACCGTAACATTACTTTGATATTCAATAAAGATATCTAGTTATTTCGAATAAATTACGTGTTTTATTAAATAATTAAAAAATTAACTCAAATTTGAACACCCTCTATAATACATATTTTTTAATCATTGATATTAACATTCTAATTATCCATCCATTTTTTAAATGAATACGCTGTTTGATTTTCAATATTTTAAAAGTTAGGCCTTTCCGAGTATTTCTAATGCTCTCATTATTGATTATTGTTATTCGACTGAACTAAATTTAATAAGTAGAAAACAAAGGTTCTAAAAATTTTCTGGTTTTCCAATAAAATTGTTAATTTCTTGAACCATCAAACTTTCTTAAATCAGCAATAGGTACCAAGTTATATTTTTCCAAGTATCCGTTGGAGGAGTTATACGTAGTAATTTCTACGGATTTAGTTATGGAATAATGCAAGGATGTGAATATTAATTAGCGTGATATAAATAATTGATTTGTCATTTATATTCTGTTTTCGTATTACTTAGGTGTGTAAATTAACGTTTTGAATGAACTTTCGATTTTTCGTACGTGATGGTTAACGTATTTAGAACAAATAACAAAATGTTTACTGATTTCTACAAATAAACATGTTTAGGTTACCACAATTAATTGTACTAATACTGTGATTATTCAGGGATCTAATCCAAATAATAGAATAATTTTATTTTTAAATCTTCTATCTTCTAAAATTTGGTACTAGGTAGTTGTCCACAAGGATACAAGCTTTACGAATATGTTGAGTAAAATACACTGCTCAAAATAATTAGAGGAACACTTATTTAAATCTCAATAACTTTTTTATTTGTAATACTATATAAATCTAATAATGCATATCTTAAAGACTAACATTTTGTTCGAATAAATTTACGAAAATAAAAGAAATTTACATAATCATTCTTGAGACAATAGTACCAATTCAAAAAAACTACAAGAAATAAAGTGAAACATACAATTAAAATTTCAATTTAGAAATATGCTGTGCCTTGGAATAGTAAACATTTTTCACAGTTCTGCATAAATTGTAAAAAATGAGGCATCTAAGTGAAGTTGAAGTCGTTCGTGTTGTTGCTAGTATAGAGTATGGCACCAGTATTCGACAGGTTGCAAGAGATTTTAACGTAAGCCCTTCTGTCATCCATCGCGTGTGGAATCGTTACTTAGAAACCGGAGGATATAAAAGGCGCATTGGACAAGGTCCTAAGAGGAAAACAAACCGAATTCAGGACAGGTTTTTAGTCCTATCCTCCTTGCGTTCTCGTACATCCACAGCAAAAGACCTTCAAAGTAGGCTCAGAACGACTCATGGGTTGGAAATTTCTGATCAGACAGTTAGGAATAGACTGAGAGAAGCAAACTTGAGACCAAGAAGACCCGTGCGAAAACCTATTTTAACTCCGTATCACATAAGGTCTCGTTTACATTTTGCACGTGAGCATGTGGCATGGTAACTTCGATATTGGAGACCAGTACTCTTCACAGATGAGTCACGATTTCGTTTAAGTCGTTGTGATGGTCGAGTACGTGTACGTGTATTCTTCAGCTACCATACAAGAAGTCGAAAGATTTGGTGGTGGGTCAGTGATGGTTTGGGGCGGAATTAGTCTTGATGAAAGAACCGATCTTGTCATAGTTCCAGGGACTCTAACTGCTGAACGGTACATTGATCTCATTCTAGAAGATCATGTTATACCAGCCGCTTATGGTATAGGTTCAAATTTTCTGTTTATGCAAGATAACGCAAGGCCACATACTGCGATTATCACCATGAACTACCTTCAACATCACGGGATTCAATCCATGGATTGGCCTCCGCTAAGTCCTGATCTAAACCCCATCGAACATCTTTGGGAGTAATTCGTGCTAATGGAAGACATACACGATATTAGTGAACCAAATCTCACCAGGACCTTTATGTTATACAGACAGGATCACAGACGTTTCACTTTATTTCATGTAGTTTTTTTTAATTGGCGCTGTTGTCTCAAGAGTGATTATGTAAATTTGTTTTATTTTCGTAAATTTATTCGAACAAAATGTTAGTCTTTAAGATATGCATTATTAGATTTATATAGTATTACAAATAAAAAAGTTATTGATATTTAAATAAGTATTCCTCTAATTATTTTGAGCAGTGTACTTGGTTGGTTGGTTTATTTTAGCGTTTTGAAATATGTGCATGGAATATGTTCTAATATAAATAAATAATTGGATCAAATTTCAATACAGACTTTGGCTTTATTTACAGAAGCAAATGTATCTATGCACAAAGAGGCCAGAGTTACAGAGGTGCAATTGGTTATACAGGGTGTCCGTTAATTAATGGTACACAGCAAAACCACAGATTCCTCATGTCAAAATATTAGGATTTTACCAAAATTATTTTTGTTCAAAAGTTCATAATAATCAAGATAGTGTCAAAGTTATATTTATTTTATTTTTTCCAATAATATCTAAATAAATCGAGATACCGGTATGAAATTATGAATTCGGTTTTTTTTTGAAACGACAAAGTTAAATTTGTTCATAGTTTGGATGTTATTAATGAATTCTTGAAACAATCAATTCTCTCACGTTTTAGAAGTTGTTAGTGATAACCGTTTTCGAGATAATTG